TTTGAATTAGATTTTTTGTTTGGTATTCAAATGTATAATCAGAAACTTTCTTCTAGGTTTGGTCTGCAAAAAATATGAGATTGTGAAGAGGCTGCAAGTGGTGGAGGAAAGAGCTCCGACAAAAACAGTGGGGTGGGGATGGTGGTTTCCGATGGGGAAAGAGGTGGTGGCAGTGGTGATGCTATGGTGGAGTAATGGTGGTTAAAGGTGGAGAAATGAGAGGAGGGTAAGGGAGGTTTTACGGATTTTTGAAGGAGAGAGAGAAGGGCCCAAATTAATTATTTATTTTCTTTTTCATTTAAGTTAAATAGCAAAAACAATAAAAAAATATACCAGAAGGGTATTATAGTCATTTTAATTTTACAAGGGACCAAATTCACGTACAAACATGGCCAAAAGGACCACGAATCCAAAAAAATCGTGGTTTGGACTAAAACCCCAAAAAAATGCATACCACAGGGACCATTTTTGCAGTTTTGTCTAAAATTTAAACCAGTAGTCTTTTACTAAACGCATACTAACGTGTTTGTGCAATACAATTGAGACTTCTTACTCCTTTATATAGGAAGTGTGTTTCAACCATATCATATGGATCGCATCTATAATGTATAATGCAGATCAAAGACTCGAAACCCATGAAATAGAAATACCAAATGCACTAATAAAATAAAGAATCATCAGGTTATGTTACGTAAGCAGTGTTGTCATCTTCCTCTATTACTTCATTTAGTGCAATTTATACAAAAATAAAAAAGCAACATATAATATTTATCAAATTAAATTAAATTAAAAAGTTATAAAAGGAGTTATTCCCTACCGGCATTTTGGTGATAAAGCAGTACTGCTAGTTCCTTTTAAAGAAAGATACATTTTACAAAGAATGGAAACACGCCAAATGATCCGCATTTACTTTCTGAAAGTATAATATATATATATATATATATATATATATATATATATATATATATATATATATATATATATATATATATATATATATATATATATATATATATATTCTAAACATTGTTAATTTTAATAAATATCATAATATTATTTAGTAACAGAATTTTAGATATATTAATCGACTAAAAAATAAATTTGGATTATGGTTATTTTTACTCAAACTGAAAACATGTAATATTTTTATAAAAAAATTAAATATTCTCCTACTTATTCTTTTTACTTATCCTCCATTCGTCCTATTATTTTTAAATGATCACAAGTATAATAAAAATTTATTAATTTTATTAATTATGACAAATGTCATATTTTTAAATGAATAGGAAGAAGGTATAAGAAAAAAATATGAGTATATTTTATTTCTCATTTTTATAAGAGTTGGAAATATAAAGAAATTGGACATGTAAATTGCCAACCTCTTATTTTAAACATCAAATAAAATACTTTTTTTTTTCTAAATTACAATTAGTTTCTTATCATCACGAATGAATCAACAGCACAAATTGATTTCTTTTAGTCGTAGTACACTATTCTTGTCTAGCACAAAAATTTGGATCAACTTCAAATTATAATAGCTGTTATGTGTAACGAAATATAGTTTCTTTTGAAAAAAACTACTTCTTTCCTATTTTCCTTTTCCGGGTACTGTTATAATTAACTATTATCTAAACTATATAACTTATATAACAACATAAATTAATAGCTCCTTTTAATTGATAGGAAGGCATTATTTATACCAAGTTGGTCTCCATTGACCTGATCATTGACCCATTTATTGCTGCAAAAACAAGAGATCTTGTCATGTGTCCCCAGAATTAAACATTTCATATAAAAATATTGAACAATTTCAATCAATTTAGGTATTTTTATTTAATGTTTAATATATAAATATGTAGTTAATAAATTATGGGTAGCAAGTTGCTAATAAAATTGACTCAATAAATCTTTATTAGTTTTATTTAAAAAAATCTCAAAGAATATAATATTTTTTTAATATTTATGTTAAACACAAAAAACATATTTTTCGACAAATTGGACCGGATCTCTTTTAATTTTAAAGAGTAAGGGGCTGTTTGTTTTTTGTGTGAAGATCTGCGCAACCACTTTTGTCTGCGCCGCGCAGACAACGCGCAGACATATGCCCTCGCAGATTGTTTGTTTTTTGGAAGTGCGCAGATCAGAAAACGTCTGCGCGAGGTCTTCCTGGCGCAGACATGGGCCACTGTCTTCAAAGGTCTTCAGACCTTATTTTAACCTAAACAAAAAAAAAAAAAAAAACATGGCCACCGTGCAGTTTTTTTTTCTTTCATTTTTTTGTTAAAAATACATTTTTAATGTTTATAACATGAAATTAAGTTTAAAAATTCAATTTATTTTAACGGCCCGCAGATGTTAAAAACAAACAGTCTTCTTATTGCAGACTGCAGACATTTGGTCCACCTCTTCTGCCGCAGAGGCTTGCAGATGTGGTCCGCAGACTGCAGACATTTTGACTTCAAAAAAACAAACAGCACCTAAAACAAAATAACCCGAGTAATTGATTTTGTAGTTTGTTATCATAAAATTTGTTGGCAAGTGAAGTGAATCGAAATCTTGAAATCATTGGGAAGTGGGAACAAACAAAAGAAAATGTATTGGGTAAAATGAGTATAAATAGACTCGATTTAACGGATTTCCACTTTCGAGCCACTTCACTAGAAACAGAGAACCAAACTACGTCATACATCGATACGTCTTACGGTTTTCACTATTGCCACCTGCATGCCAGCAATCAACCCCCTTTGCAAGTACCAACCAATTCATTATATATCTTCTAAATAGTAACGTCGGCAGCCTTAATTTTTCTTTTCATTCCCTTCCACCTTTTTTATTTTCCATTTTCAATCCTTTTAACATTTTTTTAAATTTTTGGCGATTTAAACCGCCTATTATGTTTCTATTACTACCATCCTTACACTTTATAGAATGATATTTTCAACCCTATTCAAACATTAGAAAATGTTAATTTCACCCCTTTTATTTTATCCCCGATAATATATATATATATATATATATATATATATATATATATATATAATATGATTTTCCGATAGATACAACCCTCTAATTTTGTAACTTTTCGTATGTGTCGATATAAATTAGAGGTGATCAACATTTCGATGTAAATTGTTTCAGCGTAAATTTATAACTATAGTCCGTTGATTTTAAAAACAAAAAAAAAACTATTTTTTTTATGAATGTGTCAGTATAAATTTGAGTTTGTCTGCATTTCAATGTAACTATTTTACCTTTTCGTGCTTCTTTTTATGCATGTTTCCTACTCGTTAATTAAAAAAAATTCTTACTTATTTATTTTTATATGCATGTCACATATAATTTAAAAAAATCTTATTTATTTTTATATGGTTTTGATTATCTTTGCTTAGCATGGCTATGGCTTTGGCCTAACTATTGTGCTTTGTCAACTTAAATCTTCCTAATTCCTGGTCAACATCTAACATTTTACTTTCTACTATTTTTTAAATACATTACTGTTATCACAATGTACAGCGGGTAAAATACTAATTATATAGTAATTAGGTTTCTTTATAAAGATTTAATATCAAACTTATTGATTTCTATTGTAATGACACTTATAAAAACTTATTTCGTACAATTCAATCTCTTAATATCAAATATTAAATATTGACAACATTTTTTAAATTGTGTCGATTTTGTTGCTTGACTTAGAGCATCCATGATAAAAATTGTGTCAATTTTTTTTTGCTTAACTTAGAGCATCCATGATGGATTGAATGTGAATGAAATCACAAAGATAATTATCATCCAATTGATGAAACTCTATCAATATAAGATGCTACTTTTTCAATAAATATGGATTTCAATAGCCTTTAAACCTTTTAATAACCTCTCTAAACGGTGGATTTATATATATTGCCGAGTTTTGTTTGCCATGGCAAGGACGTGTTCGCCGATGCCATAACACACCCACCAGCCTAATTGTCATTTTTGCATTGAATGTAAAATGATAAGGTCTAGTGTTGAGAGAGAGAGCCATTTTGCCACCCATTTGCCATTTCCACCGGTGGCGGTGAAAAAATGGTTCCTATACGTTATACACCACCGGTAAAACACACCATATCAGTTTACCACCACCAGTAAAAATTATGTGATACCGTCCAACCTAACTGGTGAGGTGACTTCAATTTTGTTTGTTTATACTTTGAAGTTTGAACACATTTCTAACAGAAAAAACAAATAAATTTATAAAAAAACGTTTCGTTCCACGAATTAAACTTGACATAACGGGTAATTTAATAAAATATTAAGTTTAAAATGTCTAAAATATCACTAAATAAAATACAATAAAAATTTATAAAATAAAGTTAACATTATTGCATATTATACTGGATCAGATACCCAACGAGCTCGTAACTTAATAATATTTAAGAGGATATGTGATTTTTGATCTACTTTTACTAGATATTGACTGACATATATAGTAGTTAAATACACCCACCACCGCCCCACTTCAGTATAGTTTAATTATGTCTCTTCTTTCTTCTATAGTTTAATTCTTTCTTATTCTTTCTTCTGTTGTGCAACTTACTATTTCGACTTGTATCGTGTAATAATGATTTAAAATTTTTTAAGAAAAGAAGTTGAAGAAGCAGGATCTTTTAATCTTTCTATATGGAGTAGATAGTATCCATATGCATGTACCATGAGATCCTTTTCATTACTTGTGGGGCTTCAACGTCCCTACCCTCTATCGCAACTTGATAGCTAATATCCTAGGCACTGATGGCTATGGCCTATGGATGATGGGTATGCATTTTCTTGTTTTTTATTTATTTAATACAAAAATTAAAGCCAATATTTACAACGTTGATGTATAAGTTTTAACTTTGTTTGCATGGTTGTTGAGTTGGGTCAATTAATTTCATAAGACCCGATAGCAATGGAGTGTTAAGGTTCTCACTACACAATTATTATAAAGAGGAATGGATGTAAAAGTGGAGTATGAAATTAATTACCGTTCGCAAGATCAAGCAGAAAATCAGCTGGATTCATCGGAAAAGATGGTCGGAAATCAACCGACTCAAAGTAACTCATGGCCTCCGACGCTTTCCCAAAGTAAATGCACCTTCCTTCCGACAAAACCAGCACCGTGTCGAACATCTGGAACACCCTGCTAGACGGTTGGTGCACCGACGTAACAACCGTCTTTCCCTTCTGGTGTGCCAACCCAGCCAGGGTCGACACCAGTCTGTGCGCCGCCGTCGAGTCCAGACCTGACGTCGGTTCGTCCAGTATCAATAAGCTAGGATTTACCAACATCTCATGTGCGATACTCACGCGCTTACGTTCCCCGCCGGAGACCCCACGGATAAACATATTACCTATGATTGTATTCTCACATTTCGACAAACCCAACTCTGCGATCACGGAATCCGCCACCTCCGTTTTCTCCCCCCGGGTGAGGCTCTGCGGAAGACGGAGAAGGGCGCAGAAGATTAAAGTTTCCCGGACAGTGAGGTGGGGGTAGAGTACGTCGTCCTGGGTGACAAAACCAGTTCGTCGGAGTACTGTTTTGGACAATTTACGACCGTTGGCAAGTATTGTTCCGGTGAACTGGTGTCTAGGTAGCCTCCCCCCAAGCGCGTTCAGGAGGGTGGATTTCCCGCTCCCCGACGGGCCCAAGACGGCCAGGAGTTCACCAGGGTGTACCATTCCGGTGATCCCCTCCAAGATGCTCCGTTCTTGGATCCTACTGCAATCGTCACTGGTCGAGGTTTCACTTCCGCCAAATATGCTCCTAATCAAGTTGTTTCCACCATTATTTTCAATCTTCACTCTATAAGAGATGTCAATGAACTGCAAAATCGAACAAACAATCAGCATCGATCCCACGTACAACAAGGAATTGTTTTTACCTTCAGATGGACATGAGACGAAGACGACGAGATCCCTAAAGACTGGTTTTTGGGTGGATGAGTGGCATGATGTTCTTTAGTCATATTTTTTTATGTTAGAGAGAAATCAGAGGAAAGAGAAGAGAATGAACAGAAGAACGAAGATGAGAGTATTTATGGAGATCATGGGGATGTTGACAATGGGTTCCGACGTCAAAAGAGGGTGACACACGTTAAGGGGGAAAATTGGTACGTGTCAGGTGTAGGTGATAGTTGAATGGTTCATTCTCCTTTTAGTTAAAAGTTGGCTCCACTCCCCCAATTATATTTTCTGCTTTAGTTTTACATCCTTTATTTGCATGGTTCGTATCTTAAATATTTTATTATACATGTTTTATTAATTTTAAAGTTAGGTGCACATGTAAAAAGAATTATAATTTGTTTGGATCTCGATAACTAGCTATGTTAAACGGTTTCAACATGTTGGTGTCGATTTGTAATTGTAAGAAAATAATACATCTCTTTTAAACTTTTATTGTCCTAAAAGTTCTATGTCTCGTTCGGTCTAAAAGTTTATTCTTCCTTTTTCTTTTTCTATACCATTTTTACATCCAATAAATGCGTTGCCAGTGCTTTCTTTTTTTGAAACGATAGAAATAAATTCAGAAGAACCAAAAACGGCTTTGAAAGAGTCGAACAATAACCATAAAGCAAGTGAGGAGTGATATACAAAAGCAATATGCGAATTAGATGAGTCAACAACCAAATGCCATAAACGCCACATGTACATGCCGATTCCTTGACTGATCGCACGCATATGAAAATAAAGAAAAAAGTATAATTTGATGTTGTAAAGTGGAAGTGCACTCAGGTAGCTGCTAATGGGGTAAACGACAACCATCCACTCTAGACCACTTTATCATCTTAAATTTAAAGGGAAACTTTAATAGTATTATTGACCCTCATAGCATGTGATTGCACTACCACATAAATATCAAGTTCCATAAGTTTATCCTATAAGTTTACATTTTTTATATCACTAATTAAAAGAGATTGTTTCCATGGCCTAATTACACCGTAAGATATATTGTTATTATTATTATTACACACACAAATATATATATATATATATATATATATATATATATATATATATATATATATATATATATATATATATATATATGGGAACATGAGAATTATTAATCCAAACATCATTTTTCAAAATCAAAACTACAAATATTAATAAAGTATAACATTTAAGTCATATCTAGGCTAAAAAAAAAAAGATTTGCCGATATTATTTTGACTATTGTTTATATATATATATATATATATATATATATATATATATATATATATATATATATATATAAGAGAGAGAGAGAGAGAGAGAGAGAGTGCGAGAGATAGCTAGGTTCAAATATTCTAACTAATTATTGTGTGGATGTAAGATTATTATAGACCAATCATTTCAAAAATAGAATTAGGGGTCTAATAGTAAACTTGGCCACACTTATTTATGGTAAATATATAAAATATTTAATATCGTTAAATTAGAGGAAGTGGTTTCTTAACCCTAAAAAACCATGGCCATCGACCCCTCGTCACCATAAACACACGTCGTTCTCATTGTTTCTCCTTCATCGCCTCTCACCTCGTACTCAGACGTTAAAGAACCAGCCTCCACCCCTTCATGTCGGAGGTAACAGACCATCATCGTTGAAGACCACCATCGTTGAAGACCGCACGTCACACACCACCGTCATTGAAGACCTCCGGCGCCGAACAACACATCACATGTCCTGTTTCGTCGTCCCCACACCATGATTCATTCCACCACTACTCCTAATAATCAACTTCCTTGGCCACTCTCTCAATACCCACTTTCTCTGGTGATTGATGTTGTAAAGAAGGTGAATTGGGGTCACCCTGGGCATACACTAACAGTAGAACCGTCAAACAACCTAAATCGCCATAGTCGTCAGGAAACACAACCACCACAACCATCGAACAACCTAAACCTCTCCAATATCACCATCTGATCTCGATTCCCTGCTGATCAATTCTGATAGATTTCGTTATTTCCCCGATCTCGATGTCTTTTACTCCTTCAACCTATGTCGCTCCTTCAATTTTGATTTTACCAAGGTATGTTCCTTTTCTAATTAGCTAGTTTAAGGACTAATACATAGGATATGAAAATCAATTTTGAGCATCATCTGTTCAGCAGATTTGGAATCGTCACCCTCACTTTGTGAATGGGATATACCAAATTGTCAATTAAATTCATCACTTCTATTTGTGTATAGGATCTACTTCAAATACTTAATTGTGTGTAAAATATGATTTGAATGTGGCTTCTTAGATGAATTGTGCATCCATATATTGATCTATTTTTCACCTATGTTACTATGTATACTGATATTCATGTTTTTTCATGACATACTCAATGTCATCTCGTTTGATAATGGATTGGCTAACAACTATACATGTAGTGAAAAAGTAACAAGAACTGTAAGGCAACTTTCTCTACATTTATGTAACGACCCAAAAATCACGACTAAAAATTTCTTTTAAAACATTACTAAAACCATATTTATAAAACCGTATCATAAGTCATAACATAATTTTCGAGTATTAATTCAAAACAAAATCTCATTATCAGAGTAAAACATTCACATGCTAACTGACTATGGTGTGTGCACTGCAACCTCTCTGAGCTCCTCTTTTGAAAACTGAGTACCTGAAACCAAAACTGAAAACCGTAAGCACGAAGCTTAGTGAGCTCCCCCAAACTACCACATATCATACAATAACATATAAAACACATACTGGGCCTTGCCCACTGCATCGGACTGAGGTCCGGAGTAACTGGGGCCTTTCCCCCTGCATCGGACCGAAGTCCGGAAACTGACTGGGACCTTGTCCCCTGTATCGGACCAAAGTCCGGACTATCTGGGGCCTTGCCCCCTACATCGGACCGAAGTCCGGAAACTGACTGGGACCTTGTCCCCTGCATCAGACCGAAGTACGAACTAACTGCATCGGACTGAAGTCCGGAACTAACTGAACAAAGCATAACATAAACATATCAACTAGCATGAACACACATATACTGCATACTGCATCGGTCCGTAGCCCGGAACACATAGCACATAAATCCTGTCTGAGCCATGAAGGCATCAAACATACTAACTACGGCATCGGACTGAAGTCCGGAAACTACTACTAGCTAAACGGGTCGGCATTGTGGCCTTAGACCCGTTCCTACTGGAAGGAAACTCACCTAGTACTGCTGAACTTACTGATAACCCTCTGGCTGCTAACCGACAACCTTCTGAGCCGCTGCTCCTCTAGCTCTCTGAGCTACCAATATCAAAATGATACTTAGTCTGACAGTCCTTCAAAAGTCAACTAAGTCAACTCTGGTCAAAAGTTAAAGTCCTGGTCACAGTCAACCTTCCAGGTTGACCCTACTCGCTGAGTTAGCCTACTGACTCGCTGAGTTCATAAGCTCTGAAATCCCTTTCATTCGCGACTCGACTCGCTGAGTCAGACCATGACTCGCTGAGTCTATTGATTTCCGAGTCCTGACCTGTCCACTCACTGGGTCCCCGCTCAACTCACTGATCCGAGTCTTAACTCGAAGGGTTTGGGGTTTTGCGATTTGACTCGTCGAGTCTAAGAACAGACTCGCCGAGTCCAAAGCAATCTTCAACAGACTCGCCGAGTTGTTCATCCAACTTGTCGAGTTCATCTCCATCTTCATACTACTCGTCGAGTCCACTCGAAGGACTCACCGAGTCTATTCAGTCCTTCATATATTCAGAGGCTTTTGATTCATGTATGGACTCCGAACTGTAGATCCACTCTTCTAAAGCCTATTCCTTACGTAAAGTGGCAAACTTTACGTGTAGCTAAGGCGATCTAGGCTCAAAACACTATGCACCACACCCTTTTTCTCTTTTCAAGTTATTTCCTTTCTAAATATTCTTTTCGCTTTTTCTAAAACTCTTTTCTTTTCTCAAACTCCTTTTTACAAAAAATTCCTTTTGAAAATGTTTTTCTTTTGAAAACCTTTTACCGTTTCCTTAGTTTGAGTCCAGACACACTCTTAAGTATGTCTGAATCCCTCAAACCAAGGCTCTGATACCAACTTGTAACGACCCAAAAATCACGACTAAAAATTTCATTCAAAACATTACTAAAACCATATTTATAAAACCGTATCATAAGTCATAACATAATTTTCGAGTATTAATTCAAAACATAATCTCATTATCAGAGTAAAACATTCCCAGGCTAACTAAGTATGGTGTGTACACTGCAACCTCTCCGAGCTCCTCTTTTGAAAACTGAGTACCTGAAACCAAAACTGAAAACCGTAAGCACGAAGCTTAGTGAGCTCCCCAAAACTACCACATACCATACAATAACATATAAAACACATACTGGGCCTACTGACTTGTCGAGTTCATAAGCTCTGAAATCCCTTTCATTCGCGACTCGACTCATCGAGTCAGACCATGACTCACCGAGGCTACTGTTTTCCGAGTCCTAACCTGTCCACTCACTGGGTCCCCACTCAACTCACTGATCCGAGTCTTAACTTGAAGGGTTTGGGGTTTCGCGACTTGACTCGTCGAGTCCAAGAATAGACTCTCCGAGTCCAAAGCAATCTTCAACAGACTTGCCGAGTTGTTCATCCAACTCGTCGAGTTCATCTCCATCTTCATACTACTTGTTGAGTCTACTCGAAGGACTCGCCGAGTCTATTCAGTCCTTCATATATTCAGAGGATTTTGAGTCATGCATGGACTCCAAACTATAGATCCACTCTTCTAAAGCCTATTCCTTACGTAAAGTGGAAAACTTTACGTGTAGCTAAGGAGATCTAGGCTCAAAACACTATATAATAGGGTTTAAGACAAAGAGGCTTAACAATCAACCCATAGACTGATGCTTTATGATTCTCTAGACCAAGATACACTTAGATCTGAAGTAGCAACTTCAGATCTGGGTTTCTAACTCGAAATGATTCTTAAACATGCCCTAAAAGCCCCAAATCTCATGATAAAGGTTGATCTATAGGCAAAGGAGTGAAGGTAGCGACTCATTACCTTCAAATGCTCTGGAAAATCCCACAAACTCTGGATCTACTACCAATCCTTGAATCCCCAATGGTT